GATGCCTTACAATTCCAGTGTTCTGGCTTCCTCTGTATTAGGGCATGGTCTGTTTACCTTAGGACTTGCAGTCACATAATTCAATTCCCTCTAAGGGTACCGATGAAGTATAAGCGAGGGCAAAGCTGCATTGCAGCATTAACGAGAACAGACGTTTGACTAAATGACGCAATAAAATTGAATACAAAAACAGACTCCTCCTAAGTCCATTTTTTAGTCCATGAAATACAATATGAAAAATGGAATATATCCTAGTCGCAAGAATAAGTACAGTTGGACTTGCCTAGCTCTTCCGGCCTTAGCATTGCCTCGCAAAGGGATTCTGTTGCGCTTTCCGAAAACTGTTTTGGTATTTTTTCGCACAAATTCACTAGCAGCCAAAACGTTGCGATCTGCCCGTCGCTGAAATGAAGAATGTAGACACTTTCTTTCACGCATCGCATGACTATGGCCTCGTCCACAAAAGGAATGCCTGCCGAACGACGAACAGCTTTCGTTTGACCCCCTTTCTTCTACCTCTCCATTGAAATGTTCGTTTGAGGTAAGACTGCGTGGGGACATGAATGAAGCTGGTGTAGATAGATTTTTTGTCTCCTTGACATTGGCTAAGGATGATCCTTTATTGTATTTGTATGGTACCAAAGCATATGAATTGTTGGCTCTAAGAGAAGAAGGTAGGCCATTAAGATTGTAGCGGAGAGTTCCACCCCCAGGCTAAAAGTGAGAAAATTCGTTAATTCAACAAAGCCTGAGCAAAGAGCAATTTTTCATTTAGAACTATAGTTACTCTAAAAGGTGGTCTATTCGACAAGTTTGATTCAGACTTGGCTTTCTTCCTCAAATGCTCGCGACCACTAGCAGCCTCTTTGTTCCACAGTACCTTGTGCAGAAACATTGGCTGGCCACGTTCATGTCTTTTCGTCAACGCCCGCTGCCGAAGAAGACGATTCGCCGACTCCAAAGATTTGCCTGACCAGCCAGGATTACTACTTCCAGAGCGTAAAGCTTCGCTAGTTGGTCGCTTTGGAGTCTGCGACGGTATTTTTAACCAGCGATGCTGAAAGGTATATTTATCAGAATGTTGACAATTCGCAGCAAAGAAGGCTTGCCAATAAAGATGTTTGAGGATTAGAAGATTATTTAGCTCAGGTTTAAAGACTAAGATAGTGTAAGCTTAAGTTCGTCATACAGTTTTTAACAATTTGATCGGACCGAAATTGGGACAACCTCGCTCCACAAACTTGGTCGTAGTATCAGAAAGAATTCGAAAAAGGTTACCCATACTGCATCATCTGCCAGTGTTTTCCTGTATTTGTCCAGTACCGGATCGTTGTATGCTCAGATTTCCAGATGCTCGTCATTAAATATCGCCGGCCTAGGCAACGAGCTACAAATTGCTAATTCTCGTTGAAAAATATTTTGGAAGGTACCCAGTTAAAAGTCCAATCCTGGAT